GACCATTTGATTTGGATATAAGTTATGAACTAAGTTTCTTGGGAGCAAAACAAACAAAGAAAAAAATGGTGCCATTTGTGAAAGTGGTGCTAAGAGTGTCACATCATCTCTGTCACATATCACACATGGGTCACACTGCTAAAGGATGAACTGTTATGTGATCTTTTAGGTAATAACCACTATACCAGAAAGTAAAAGTATGACATAGGCATTAAAATGTGACAAGAGTATAAAATGTTTCAAATTGCTGCCCCTATGAAATTTAGAGAATTAAACTAAGTTCAGTTACTTTATTTTATAACGAGAAGCACCTAGAATAGTTGAATTTGAGCAAGTAGACAGATAAAAATGCTTGAACAGATATCTAGTAGTTTTAATAATTTCTCTTGCAAATTTAAAAATTGTCCGTTTACATTTTATATCACTAACTAACATAAAGAAATGAATTTTCCAGTAGAGGCTTTGTTTATTGAGATCAACAAATTTAGACCCTTTAGGAATAAGAGATTAGGATTTAAAAAAAAATTTGGACATGTATTTGACAAAAAATCTAAAAGAGAATAGAATCTAACGTTTTGTTCTATAAGAATGTATATGAAAATAGCATCTGAGCAAGCTAAAATAAATAACATACCAAAAAGAATATAAAAACTTGTTGACTATATTTTTATGGGATTTTTGATGTAAAAGGAAAACTTTTAAAGGTAAATATTATTTTTAAGGCATTTAATTCAGATAAGGAAAGTAGGGAGACGTTCTAAAATATCAAGTATTAATTTCCTTATAAGTAACATATTCCAGGAGACTAAAGGTAAAAAACAAAAAAAAGATTCTATTCTATCATATCCAATCTTCCTGGAAGAAATTCCAGCAGCAGCCTGTAAGGTAAATGGAGTGTGGAAAACCAATTCACAAATTGCAGGCTTGGGAAAGAATAACATTGCTTAGAAAATGAAAGTCGATCAAGATTGGAAACATTTCACCCGTTTTCATTTAAATCTTCAATCTTTTTTCCTGCTGGTTTAGGAAACAGAATATGACATAATGGGGCAGTAGGGAGTATGAACTCTGAATATTTTGAAATGGCCACATTGACATGCTCAATGTAATTTTCTGTGACTAAAAGAGAACTAGGCATTTGGATAATCTCCTAGTTAAAATATGGTTTATGAAACTTAAAACAATTATTTGCAACCGTGTTTTTGTCCTCTCATTATGTAAGATTCACTTTAATCAATTGACAGAAGCTTTAAAAAACTATGATGAAATTTAAAATGGAAAATGACTTCAAATATTACTAGACTAGTCCTCTGCTTTCAGTGAAATGTACACCCACCCCATTGCAGAGAGGCAAGAATTTACTGCAAGATTAAGGACCTGAAAAAGGAGACACTTGTTACTTTCCCGTCTCACCCAATTTGTGTCAAAGTGCTCTGTGGTCATAAATACTTTTCTGAAACATTCAGGCTAAATCCTTCATGGAAGTTTCAAACTGTCTTGTAAACGGCCCCTACAAGTCAATTAATTCTGACAAGTCAATATAATTGAAAAACAGAGTCACATTCCTTTATATTTAAGTTCAAAACAGGTATTAATTAAAGGTATCAAGAGTTTTCTGGAAGGAACCATAGCTATTTGCTACCAATTCCTTGAAAGAATTGCCCTTAGAAGATTAACACAAAATTCAAATGCTTAAACTCTGAGAAATTTTGGTATGTCAATTCCATAGTCACTAACCTATTGGATTAATGCCCTGCTGATACAAAAATTGCTAATTTCATGAGATTTTCAGAGATTATTATGCCAATATTTCAACTAGAGTAGTAACGACCATCAATGAACATTCGCTATAGATGGCTCCTGTACAGTCTTTCATTGAATCCTCATACCAATCTTACGAGGTATAAAAATTCTCAATTTAAATATTACCATTACCATGTCCATTTTACAGATAAGAAACATGGTGGGGCCAATATTTGAACCCAGGCTTTCACATTCAAGAACCCTTGTAAAGACCTGTATAATGGGCTACAGGTGATTTTTCTTGGGAATGATGGGCTGTACTGTATTATCTATACACAATTATTGGCCACGGTCACCTATTTATGACAAGGCTAATCTGAATTAGGTATTTTAGTCCGAGAATTATGGAGTATGGAAGGCTGAGAATTCTAATAATGCTTTTGCATAAATTTTGAAAATATAAAATCAATAATATTAATAAGATATAATATGATTTTGAGTCATATAACCTCAGTTAGAAGAGTTAAAAACCACAAGTGATCTGTCAATGTCTATCATTTTAACCTTTTCTCTGACTCTAAATACCAGCCTATGACTTACAGCCATCAGTACCAGTGGCCGTCATTATGATGGAGAGTCTCAAGATAAAGAGAGAGAACTGCCCGATCTTTCTTCAAGGAGCCAATCAAAAGGCCTAGAGGAGGACATGGAAGCTCCTTGGATGATCATAGAGATTTGTCTCCTCTCCCTGGGAGGCATGTTCTCCCCTTCCCAAGGTTTGAGAATCCTTGATACATAGAGAAATAATAAATAATAACATTTACTGAGTGACTCTATAAGCCAAATACTGTTCTAAGGATGCATTCAATCTTTACAATCAATTTATGAACAACAGTAATATTCCCATTTTATACATGAAGAAAGTGCAGCTTAGATAACTTAAGAAATTTACCTGCAGACACACATCAAAACATGGTAGAGCCTGGCTTTGAACTCAGAAAATCTGATTCCAGTGACAGCACGCTTCACCATACTATTCTGAGTAATCCATTGGAATGAGTATAAGAAAATCATTAAAACAAATATGAAAAAACTCTTCAAAGTGATAGTACAGTGACTTGACCAAGGTCTTAAGGGGGAAAAAGTATTTATAAATAATAAATAATAACATTTAATAGACTTATAATAAAAAGCTGTGTACTTTTATTTATTGGCCTTAGGGATCACAGTACAACCGCCATTCATCTGAGTAACCATCTATGGGCACTTTTGACCATTTGATTTGGATATAAGTTATGAACTAAGTTTGCCCAAGTGTCAAAGTGCCACTGTTGTATAAATCAATTAACTCTAGCACATTTTTATAATTTAATTTGTCCATTTATTTCATTAAAAAACAATTTGTGAAGATGACATATCACTTATTTGATCATTTAAAAACATTTAAAGGCAGTAATATATGAATTAAGAAATTAAGACTAAATTCAGTGACATACATGAATCTCATAAATGTATTTAGCAAAAGAAGTCAGATGCATAGACTACAAACTGTATGACTTACTGTATGACTTAATTTTTTCTTCTTCTTCTTTTTTTTTTTTATAGACAGAGGGTCTTGCTCTGTTGCCCAGGCTGAAATGCCATGGCAATCATAGCTCATTGGAACATGAAACTCCTGGGCTACAGTGGTTCTCCTACCTCAGCCTCCTGAGTATCTGGAAATACAGGAGTTACTACCACGCCTGGTTAATATTTTTTTTTAACTTGTTATAGAGACAGGGTCATGCTGTGTTGCCCAGGCTGGGTCTCAAAATTTTGGCCTCAAGTGATGCTCTGCCTTGGCCTCTCAAAGTACTGGGATTACAGGTATGAGCCACTACCACACCTGGCCCATGACTAAACTTATGTAAAGTTAAAAACCAGGCAACCTAGCCTACGGTGTTAAAATTTAGGACAGTGGTTACCAGTGGAATGGCATACAATGGAGTTCTTGGGGTTCTGTTAATATTTTATTTCTTGATCTGGCTAATGGTTACACAAATGTTTCATTTTGGGAAATTCACTAAAGTTTACAATTACGTTTTGTGTACTTTTACACTATGTATATTTTAATATAAAAGTTTACATTAAAAGATAATACTTTATCCAAAATTCTCATTTTGCTAATTATATTATACCACTACTTTCTCTCTTCCAAAAGCATACAATTAATTTGTTTTACAAGTAAAGCATATTTCTATATAACATTGTAAAGTTATTATTTTCCCATTTAGCAAATGTTTTATGAGATATTTTAAAAGTTGGGTTCATTGATATATAATTTATATGTGGTAAAATGTACAGTTCTACAATTTTTGATGAGCATATGCATTTGTGCAACCACTCCCATGATCAAGACATAGAACAGTTCCAATATTCCTTCAAATTGACTGCCCTTCTGCAGTCAAATTCATCCCCCAAACTCCAGCCCCTGGCGACATTGATTTCCTGTCCCTATAGTTCTGCCTTTTTCAGAATGCCATATGAATGGAATTGTACAGAATGTATTAAGTCTGGCTTCTTTCATTTAGTGCAATATATTTGAGATCCATCCATTTCGTTGGGTGTATCAGCAGCTTATTCCTTTTTATTGCTCAGTAGTGTTACGATGCATGTATGTGCCACCACTGGAGGACATTTGAGTAGTTTCTAGTTTTTGGTGATTATGAATAAAACCATTATAAACATTAGTGTATAGGTATTTGTGTGAAAATGAGTAATATGTTTCGTTTTTAAATTCTAAGTTATACTTGCACAAAATATTTTCTATATTGCCTTTAGTCTATGGTAATTTGTGTACCTAGAAAATATACCAACCAGTTCAAAATAATGTAAAATCAGAAATTGATTCAAATAACAAACATCTTATGAAGATAGATCAACTTTTGCAAATTCCTCCCTTAAAAATATTTCTTTTTGCAATCATGCAATCATCTAGAGAATTAAGAACAAAAATATTCTATTAAAGTTCTATATTAATAATTCAAAATCCTGTTTAAATTATACAAGATTAAAAATCAATGGCATTACTAATTAGGACTCTGAAATCACAATGAATGAAGGAAAAAGAAGTAAGAAAGGTGGCTTGAAAAGGAAAGTGTTTTTTCCTCTTTCAAAACTCTAATTTATTACAAATTTAACCCAACTGGTTAGTACTTTTTATCCATGATAACTGGGAAAGGATTTGAGCGACAAAATGGAAACATGGTAGATGTTACCTAGCATGTTGTGGTAAAGTGGAATGGCCCGTCCATGGGTAGTAAATGCAGTCATGACTAGTGGGACCGTTACACCTGCAGGCAATTACAGAACAGAAAACATCATTCTCCATCCACAGTGACATGCACACACATGCACCAGTGCTCACACATGGAGCCTCGGAGGAAGAACATGGGAAGCAAGCACACCAAGTACCTATCCATCAGGCCGATGCAGTCTTCAATACTTGAGCCTATGCACCTGCAGAAGATGTAAATTTAAAAAAAAAATACAAGGAAAGAAAAATTAGTCATTTTTTTTAAAAGAATCAGTAAAATAAATACTGATTGTGTCAAATTCTTAATTATAATTACTAGACAATTTTTGGAACACCGTGGATTTCAAGCCAGCAAGAAGATTATTGCTTGATGGATACACAAAAATGAATTACAATTACCACCCAAGTGGAATGCAAAGAAACATGTCCTCAGCAGAGGAAATTTTACCCTGGTTCTGTGGATAACTTCCAAACACACACAGCTCATTTCTAATACTTCCAATTCATTTGCATCATTCATGATTATATGTCTTGATGAATAACTTGATATTTTAATGACTATAATTGTTTTAATGTATATGGTTTCTTCCAAAAGCCCTTGCATTTAAGTAAAAAACAAAATCAATAAAAAAGGAAATATGAGCAATTCAATATAATATAATAACCTGATGTTTAATGCTCATTAAAGATTTATTTTGGCAGGAAATTAGTTAACATGCTTTAATGCTATTTTCATGGATACTTTATATAATCACATTATTCTGGTCTTTGGTTGTGACTGTCTTTAAAACATACTTATCTTTAAACATGAATTTATTTAAAAAGCAAATTAACTGTTTTCATCATACTGCACTTTATCTTGACGCTCTCTTTTAAAATAGCTGTGCCATAACATGCAAACAGAAACAGGTTTTTAACCTGCCATAATAATGAACTCAAACAATAACAAATAAATAAATGCTCTGCAAGGAAATGAATAAATTGAGACTCAGGTAACTAAAGAATACACTGAGATTAACATTTAAATTGAATTATGTAAGTACACAGAATTCTAATGTACAGTCCCTAGAATTTCATTTTGAACTATTATAGAAGTATTATTTCTTTCATCTGCCAATGTACTTGAATTTTTTTCTTTCCCTTTTCTCCCATCAAAGATAGATAGCTCCAGGGCATTAGCGAGATTCCTCCTACAGCTAATATTTCTAGAACTGCCTACTTTGGCTGATAATAAAGATAATATATTTTTTCCAAATTCTTAATTTTCAAAACTGAAAAAGAAGCTAACGTTAAGATCATTATATAATGATGTAAAAAGGTGCCCATATATAAGGCCAGAATATCTATTATATTTTTAGAAAACTCTAAACATTGGGTCATGCTGTGTTGCCCAGGCTGGGTCTCAAAATTTTGGCCTCAAGTGATGCTCTGCCTTGGCCTC